CTCATAACCCTACTGCAGCCAGCAATTACGTCCAGCAGCTACGCGAGACCAGCCGCTGCGCTCAAAACGCCGCCCGCTGCACCCCATGAACATCCACGACCAACCATAGAGAACACTTCGACCGTCGCTTGTACGGAGTTGCTCACCATCGCGGTAGTTTCGTGATGTTCCATAACCCCTCTCGCCCGCGCAGAACCTCCGCGCTCTTTTGCAGCCATCGGCACCTTACCGTCAACCACCCTACTCATCTGCTATGCCGTAAACCCTTCCATCCGCCCGTTCATGACCCATTTCGTAAGTCCTAAGCCGTATCACGGCTACCTGTGCACCGCAGACGCCCCCGATCTTGTCCCCAGTCACCCTGAAAATCACTGTACCCTCCCGTTGTTGATACTAGCACTGAGGATAGAGCTGCAACTTAGGAGGGCGGGCTATATAACAACACAAACCCGATCGTTTTTATTTTAATTGTTACTTTGGTTGTACAGGACACTTTTCCGGTTTTAAGGATGCTGTTACTTTGGATCTCGTACTGCGCGCGTTACACTGTCTCGGCTCTGATAAGTTCCCAGCTTCATATTTGCATGCCCGTTCAATTCACGTTCTGCAACACTCGACGTGTTATACTGAATTGTACTACAAATAAACACTACGTATTACATTAACTTATCGTCACCTGCCCACGAGTCATTTTCGCGGAAAGCCTGTCCATATAATGATATGGATTCCCTTTTTCGCAGGATATTCGGAGAAACCCGAGTCCCAGAGACAGAATCGCCTCTAACGATTCCCGTCAATGAAAGTTTTTCCACCTTCTCGAATTTGGACGCTACGCAAATGAATAATAGGTCATGAAATTGTAAAACCAATAAATTCGGCAAACTTCGTTGTCTTTGCGTTGTTCATAATTCCGGTGTTCGACTTGCCTTCTTCTTCTTCTTTATCTACCTAAATTGGTTTTCTTTCGCCAATGTTCATAGCTTGAGTTCTTCGCAATTGAGATTGAAAATACCGGTGGTCATGTATAACAAAATCATTCATCTCCTTCAGATACTGGCATCGAAATTTGAATTGTGATGACTTTTCTTCAGAAATCCATGAGAATTACTTGGCCATTTAAACGGATGTGAAGTAGCGACAGTCGCTAGACAGAATACCATCGGTGCTCCACTTGTGCACCCGATTGCGTAGGTGGACATTCAAATGGAACCTGTACGTTACGTACGTGTCATAAAGCGTGTGTTTGGTGCAACTGGCAGAGACCGATCTTTCGAAAAATCATGTAGCCATTGATTACTGCAGCAAGATTTTGCAAATTAAATTGGTACAGTAACATCATGAAACCAAATGTCCCACGTGTTAGATGCATACGGTTTGGTGGATAAATGAGTGTGCGCTAGACGCGTAGATTGTTCAGTAAACAACTTTGCGTACACAGCAATGCCAAAATGAAGTTCAGCAGGGGAAAACTTAGACATCACGATGACAGAGAGAACGTCAAATTGCTTATATAAATCAGTCCCTTGCGTAAAAAAATCCATTCAGATAAGAAAAAAAGACAGAAAAAAGTTATTTTACTCAAAATGATGAAGTGACAGAGAGGAATTAAAGATTTGCATATGAAACTAGAAAAGGTTGCATAATAAATCACAGAGGTGAAGGTTCGATCTCGAGCATGAGGTTTTTCATTTCGACAGAAAGTCCATGTAGATTTGATTGCTGCGGGAGACGAGTTGTGAGGAAAGTCAGCAAATCCATCAGCCTGGCATATTTCTGTTCAAATTTTGACGGGTGCCGAGTACCATCAAAACCCTCGTTACCCTACAATCAAGGTAAACGTACAATGACTATAGTTAGATGCGTGAATAATCAGCCCTAGGGGCAAGACAATACACTTTTGTGATATGTACAGCAAAAGAGATGGGGGACTTAAAAGCACCCTCCAGTGAGATAAGGAAGCGTAAGGCCAGCGGTCGCCAAGCTACAGAAACATCCTTATGAAGACCGAGATAGTGAAAGAGGAAAAATCGATCAATCCAACGCTGATTATTTCGGCCAGTTATTTAAACTTCTGATCGATTTTTCGCAGTAACATTTAAAACTAGGGAGCCGACTACTATCTTCAAAACGTCAGTAACAGTAAAAATATCTTTCGGTGAGCAACTCAGAACTGAGCCTCGCAAATAAACCAAACCCACTTAGTAATTATGCAATTCAACGGGTTTGGTAGCCAAAAGGTCAGCAGTAATAAAGGGCAGCGAAACATATAACTTAACAACAGTTAGAAGAGCTGGAATCTATTGCGGTTAAAGCAGCACCAAAAGGTAGACACAAAGGTTGGCACAAACCAAAGAAACACCGTCAAGGACGCTTCGAAGGTTGGGCGAGGCTCGAGAAAGAATGAAAGTCGAAGTTCGGTCATCAATGTGTAGAAGGCGTTTAGCGGCAGTGTAGAAGAGTCCATTGGTCAGTGTGGGTTCATCAGTAATTGAGGACATCAACTAGGAAAAAAACGGCAATTAAGTAACATGACCAAAACACACATTTAGAAGACCAAATGAAGATACTCTTGATGGTTGACACTGTTACTGGTTAATACGAGGTGGCAAATTTATAACTCATGTAAACTCAATATTGACAAGTTAAGGGGCAAGAGGAAGGGGCATGGATGTGGTTCTCCCTATGTTATTTACCCCCATCATTGGATCATGACCCAATCCCGGGCCTGAAACCAAGAGGGAAACTGGGCGGCTATATTCCGTTTTGAAAACAATTTAGCTGAGAAAACGCCAGTTCCACATTAATTCACACCCTTCAGCGGCGTGAGCGGAGCATGAAGGCGTGGCTAAAAGGTAGGGCATTGAGATCAACGGACAAAAGGAGCCGGATTCAACTCTCAAATCATTCCGTCCTAGGAATTGCGTATACCGATCTGTTGGCAACGAAGGATGCCATAAATCACTATTTTTGTTTAATTATTAGGTTTGGCAGATTTTCTCAATTTGCGTTGACTCAATGGTGGAAAAACTGGAGGCGTTCGGCGGGATTTGAACCCCCGTATCAGAGAAGGGCTTTACCGGCGGCCAACGCTCTAACCACTAAGCTACAAACGCCCAGCCTCGCGCCATGAATTGAATCACACTTGGGTCGATATTACCCGCCCAACTTCACCGCTCGTATGAAATCCACCAATACGGAACAGCAAGCTGACTGCCCAAGCA